ATTACGAGTAAGTAATGACTTTTTGAATGCGGTGATGATGTAGTCAGTTGATAAGGAATTCTCTTTTAATAGACAAAACTGATAGGTATATCACCTGCATAAATAATTCCATATTAGATGAGTGTATTTGATAATAATAACACATAGTGATACAGTATTAATAGTTGGATGACGTTTCGTGCTCAGTTTACTGCTCATAATCAGATCAACGCATACACACGGCTTTTGTAATTTGCTTTATATATTCCCTCTCTCCTTCTCTCTCTCTGAATTATTAATACTGTATCACTGTGTGTTATTATCAAATTACACTCATCTAATATGGAATTGTATTCTACCGCAGTACTCACATTATTGCAATTTCACATATATTATCTGATACTGGCTTTGTATCACTTTGGGCCAAGTGGGTCTTACTCTACGCCTGTGAAACCTGGCCTCTCCGAGCTGAGGATGTGCGGTGACTCTGTGTGTCCGATCATCGCTGTCTCCGCAGGATTGCTTGCGTTCGATGGCATCATCGCGTGAGTAATTCTAAGGTTCGGGGGCGTGTGTCTAAACACAGTGGAGATCACCTTTCATTGAGTGTCGTCATCTGGAAACACCGGCTCCGGTGGCTTGGACATGTGCTGCGAATGTCATCCCAGAGGCTTCCGTACAGGTCTCTGTTCGCTAGCCCTGGGATGGGATGGAAAAGGAGAAGAGGTGGTCAATCCATGACGTGGCGTCGTGGGATGAAGGACTTTTGTGCTAGATTAGCATCCGTTGGTGCGTTACAACTCCCTGGTTGGGGTCCGCGAGATAGCTCGAATCAATGGCTCGAAACGTTATCGGATATGGCCAAGAATCGTAATCAGTGGCGAACGTGTTGCAATTTCCTTCTTTCTTCCCTTCCCGATGATAGTTAACGAATTCTGTTTGAACTTGTTAAGCATGACTGTTTCCCTTCGAGACAAAGTTCTTTATCCGTTCTCTACTTATATTTTTACTTTTAATCTATGTTGTTTTATTATTATTGTGTGGCGCATCCTTCTTGGTGCCATATTGTACCAAGTTTTTTCTGCGTTAAAATAAATAATAGATCACTTCAATTGCATGTGTTTGGTATTGCTCTGATGAACAAAGATTCAACGATTTACCTCTCTATCCACCTAACCATATTACTTTATAATACCGCCTACTCTGTCTGACCGTATTGTGTGATCAAATGAAGGTGAATGCATTGCAACGATGGAACTGTTCTCTAGACAGTTTAACTTAGTAGAGTCAATCATGCTAGACCTAGCTAATTTCGGATAATCTGATTAATCCCGATCTACTAGTCTTTACCTGTGTAATTGACCTTACAGTCGTTAAATGGTATTTGGTAAATTACTTACTAGTTAAGCTCCTAACCTAAGTATATAAACATCTACCTAAACTTACGTTTACCAATTCTGGGTAGGACGAACTAAAGTCTGAGTATTCATCAGAATATGTCGGTTTTCTACAGATGCTGACCAGTAGCTGACCAATCATCCTGTTTACATCCATCAAACATTCTTCAATCTGATCATCCTGTCAGCCCCGATGAGAGTTCATCAGGTCCCGTGGGTTGAAATATTTACAATGGAAATTAGAAAATCACAAATATAGTGAAAGTACTAACCAGTAATAAATAATATATGATACTTTATACATCACCCTTAAGTTTACTTTCCCTTTTTTCATTTCTACCCGATGATGAAATGCTTTTAGTCCAGCATGGTCAAGATTTCAGTATCTTTGTGAATGCAATGTCGATCTTTGTCACATTTTTACATAATATGCATTTGAATGTATGTTTTACAAGTAGCTATGCGTTCAGCTTTCACATTTTGAATATTTGTATGCATTTCTTTCCTTCTTTCTTTCACATCCAATCTTTTATCTTTCCATTTTCAAACTAATTTACATCTATGCATTACTCTGACTTTTACAAGCTGTTGTTGTATATACTGTACCTTACGTAACACTCATCTTTTTTAGCAATTAACTAATCCCTTCACTTTTACATGATTGTGATAATTCGAAGATATGTATACATACATATACATAATATGCAATCACAGTCTCTTGTTAGTTTGTCTTTTCTGGATAATCATCAGTTGTCTGTCTAACTGAAATCACCCTGATAACGAGTTTAATTTCGAAAATTACTTTCTAGGCGAAATCCGCACCCAGTATCTGAACAGTCTGCATCAATTCATAGGCTTACACAAACACTTATGTATAAAACATATTTTGTTTTGTTTTGTTTAAATACTTTGTTTTAGCTGAAATATTTATCAAACTGGTAAATACTAGGCTATATGCATTGAAATGCATAAACAGATAATGGTTAGCAAGACAGTTTCTGCTGTCGTTATTGTTGGTGGTGGTTGTTAGTCATTACATGAATCTGTCACCTTTCTGCTTGACTCTTTTCGGACTTTGTTTTTCGTCTGCTGGAAAAGAGTTGAATAAACCGGCCAAATAAGTACACGAAGACAACAACCAGTTAAACCGGTCAAAAAAAAATTTATCTTGAGAACTACTGACTATTGATGTGGTTTACAGTGTGAAGATAGTTTAACAACTGAGTTGTGTTACAGAGTGAATTATGCAACAGTATGATTGTGACTTTGATATAAGCATAAAACTTGGTCACTGTGGTAGAGTATAACTCCATTATAGATAAGCTTTTATTTTAATAAATCACACAGTGTTATATTTAGACTTTATTTCATCTTATCCATTGTATGTAAAGTCTGGCTTAGTTAAGTGTCTAACAAACCGAGCAATAACACTGAGTAGTACAAAAAAGACCTAAACGATGAAATGAAACAGATAGAAGAGTCGTTGGTGTTAAACAACTATCCTATAAAATTCATTAAGAAGATCAGTAAAGGCCAAAAGCAAAGTAAAAATAATGGTGAAACTAATAATGATAACATAAATAAGGAAGAATATAAGGCATCTACAGTTATACCATATAAGCCGGAGACATCTGAGGCCTTACGTAGGATTCTCAATAAAGCAGGAATTACAGTGGGATTTAAACCTACAAACTCACTCAGGAACAAGCTCTGTAGGTTAAAGGACCCTGTTGACCTAATTAGACAAAATAATATAATTTACAAAATACCATGCAATGACTGTGAGGTCAACTACATAGGTCAAACCAGTAGGTCAGGGGTCGTCAAATTGTCGGAACAAAAGAATTTAACCAGGGTAAGAATGGTTGACCCAGAGAAGATAAGTAATTTAGAAAAAAGCTCAGCGATTGCACTGCATGCATTAACACACAACAACACAATAGGGTGGGTGGGACAGTAAAAATTCTAATATAGGTAGGTGGAGAGAGAGAGAGATTGGTTGCTGAATCCTGGTTCATCGACTCTACATGTAATACATGCAACGGAAATGACTCAACCCAAATACCAGAGATATGGAAGATATTATTACCACCAGTCGAATCAGAGGAGGATAATAAATAATCTTAAAATTCTATTTTAATTCACATACGTTATAACATTCTAACAAGTTACTTATTTTGACTGTAAAACCGTCTTATTTTCCATCTGACTGTACTTGATTGATAACACTAATATTATTTCTGGATGTACTTTATCTAACATTGATTTTTATTCAAATGTCTAATCAGTTTCATTTATGTATATAAATGAAGTAAAAAGGTTGTGTGAGTGACTTGATATGATTATGAGCAGCAATAATTTGTGCTCGAAATTTCGTCATCAGTTAATATTACTGTATAACACGCTGTGTGACTTGATCAAAACAAAATCTCATCTTCAGGTGATGGTCTTATCTGTAATTGTGACTCTCATTATCTTTCGTTTCACTTTGTAAAAATACTAACAATCATCCTATTTTCGCCTTTTTTTTGAATTTTACATAAGAACATTTTTTTCCGCTTCAAACTTTTACAACTTCCACGTATGATGACTAAGTATTTTATGAGATTATGTTTTTCCCCTATTTTTAAAAAAACCTTTGTTTACTTTTCCTTCGAATTGTTTTCGTTTCATATGTTGTAAGAAATCATGATTCATCTATTCATCTGTTGACTATTCAATTAAGTAGTGATACACTGTTTTAGTATATTTTATATTATTATTGTTCCGTTGGGTTCCTAGTGGAACATAGGGCTTCAGCTGCACGCCTCCACTTGCTTCTGTCTTCCTTCTGCTGTACTTTTCACCTCCATCCATGTTAGTCCATACTCTTTCGACTCCTCTTCACACGATCTCCTCCATGTCACCCTTGCACAGACGTCCCACTCACCGCTTCCATTTCGGCCTGGTTCTACTCAAGCAATGGCCTGACGCGCACGCGATGTCACCCAGCGGCGGCCTCCTCAGCGAGTGTCCAATCCATCTCCACTTTCTCCTGCATATTTATTGGGCGATTGGCTCTTGTTCTGTTTGTTCTTATAGTTTCTAGTTGGTGATTTTCCAGCTTCGTACATTGTATGAACATTCCAAGTCCCCATCATTATTTCTGCTTTCATCGAAAGAAGGCATATCGGCTGACTGGCTTCCCGAAGGTTTTCATCAGCCTGCATCATTTCACTTCCCCGATTCCAGCGAAAAATAAGGTTATTGTTTATATTTTTAGTATTTTTAATATATTTATGCGTTGAAGTTTCTGTAGCAATTTGGTTAAGTTTTGGGGGTGGAGTTGCTAGCACCATGCCCCAACACTCCCTCTTTATCCGGGCTTGTTACCGACTAGAAAACTACCGAGCTAGTAATCTAGGCGAGGTAAATTTAATGGTGATCAGTTGTTTACAACTCTTTTTTGCATCATAGACTGTGCTGTACACACAGATAGAACAATGCACTTATACTTTAGCTGTTCATCTCCTCCTCATGTCTTATTCGAATAAACCAACCAACCAACTAGTTAATTAATTTCACCCGTCTTTATTTAACTTGTTTTGAATTAACCTTTTTTCGATTGTATTTTCGAATTTTTAGCTCGGCAACTCTTTCATTGCATCTGGATCAAGTGGAAATACCACTGGTAATGTAATGACAATGTTAACACCTACTGGTACAAGTGATACCACTATGACTGATACTAATTATTCAGTTACAAATAGATTTGGTTGTAACAAAATTAATGATGATGGTGATAATAATGATCAATTACCTGTTTGTCAGTCAGAGGTGAAATCTGATACAGAAGATGTATATGAATTGATTGAATCTAATGGGAAAAAGTATCGACGTTATTTTCAACGACATGTTGTTATTGAACGACACAAAGTTAGAGAAGTAAGATGCATTATTTTGTATTTCCTTAAAAATGGTCATATTCTTGGTTAAATACTACTACTGTAACAACAGAAGACAAGGGCCAAGAAACAGATCATTTATTTAGGAAATCAACAGATATTTATAGATTTTCATGTACATTATTATAGATTATTGTAAGCAAACAAACACAATCTTCTGATTGGTAGTTTCTCGCTGAACGTTAATCTTTCATCTGTTTGTGACCGTTTCTTGAAGTTCAGATTATCTATCTGCAAATTGTATCCGCCTACGCAAAGTCTGCTGTGATTGGTTGTTGAGTCAGTCTGTGTTCTTATTTTTCTCATGACCGATATTGGGGACTTAAGCATTGACGTAGATTACTGTCTACCAACTTTGGCTAGCAGTCTGCTCTAGCTAGCAGCCACACTACTACTTCTTTCCAATTTTTTTGCGTTCCCAGTGGAACATTATGGTTTCAAGCTTCTAAATTTCAGTTGGCCTTCTAGTCTACAGGGTGTGCTGTTAGCCTACTAACCAATCTTGCCTGATTTCTAGATATACTCTCGGCTAGTAAACTAGACGAGATTTCAAAGTGTAGTCTATAATTGATTATTTGTATTGTTGTGAGTATTGTATCACACTTAAATGTTTTGGTTAGTTTTATAGCAAAGCGATTCTTACTCTGTTCATACTTACTAATGAACTATTGAAGTTAAAAGATAATTGCTATTATAAGTTTAAAAACTATAAGTATGTAGACTGTGAAGCAAAGCTTGTTTGTTTCTGAAACTTGTGATTTCCTGTCTCAATGATCTCTTTTATTCACGTGGTTAGTTGAGTCATTTAGGTCTGGCTTCCGATAGAAAGCTAGACACATCACTATATATATATATATATATATATATTGAACACTATTCCCAACAATAATGATCGTACACAATGGAAACATTCGACATTATGTAATCAGATGAAAGAGAGGTGAAAATATCCAGTTACTGGGAAAAAGAAAGACTGATAAATGTCTCTTTCTCAACGCATAAATCAGGTTTCAGGCGATTGTTGGAGATGGCCTCAGAAAACTTGAGGGGAATTAAACTCTTTTGCCTATTGATAATTTTGAACGACCTTGTGACGTCCACTTCATGACCCGTGTCAACGAGATACCTGGCGATGGCACTGTTTAAATCATTTGTTCTCTTTAGACATAAGCTTTTTGGTACATGATCAGAAATCCGTAGATATGCCCTTCTTTCTGTTCTTGCAATGTAAATCCTCCCACAGATACATGTAAATTAGTACATACAGTTGGAGTTAACATGAGAAAGATATCTATCGATTTTTGATTGCACCAAAGAGCAAGCTGTTCGATAGATGGGATGGTACCATTTCATTCCGCAAAAACTGTTGTTCTTGCTTTATTCAAATGACTTGTAGTTAGAAGTTAGGGGACTGAAATATTCGAGTCTTATGTTTATCAATAAATTGTTTGTGTAATTTTAAGTTAAAGATACGTAATAATGAGAGAGGAGTAGTGTAGCTTTTTCATTTAGCACATATGTCAGTAAGATTCATAATATGAATAACTTGTAAGTCCGTCGATCTAAATTGTATTAAGTTTATGAAGTAAAGATTATAACCACATGGAACTATTGGTTGGATGTAAAAGACAATACTAAATCACACACATGTGTCTCAAAGAGACAGTCTATCTTCCTTGCCTTCTTCAGTCTGTTGTTGTTTAAGAAAACGTTATGGTGTTCAATGAAGTGAAATTTCTCCTCGATTTAGTGAAAACCCGAACATTCATGATGATCTCAGCTAGTGTTACCCATAGACATTATACAGCTGTTTTTATCTCTTCTTGAATTTTTCAGCTGTGCACACTCACTGACCTTGTGAAGCGCAGTTTGTTTGTTATTAGATCGAAAACAGTTCATTCGATGTCTGAATTATAAGTGAAGTGAATCTCACCGAGAACTGTAACTTGTCTTCAAGAAACAGAACAATATGAGCACAGTCATTGCATCTACAAAAAAATGGTAGTTTCTCGGGGATTTTTCTCAACCTGAATAAAATTTCAGACCCTGTTGTTGCACTATCTTTTCATTGAAATTATAACAATAACCGCATTTTTAGCTGATCAAATCTGCCCCGTAAACTAAATAATTACTATACCAGTCTAAGGCACATTTTAGAAATCTGTGTGTATGCGTCGCTTAAAAATGTGTGAAGTTTTCTTATGAAGGCTTTCTTTCTGATGTAAGCGAAGCAAGATAGAGGTTATAGTATATAAGTTTTAGTGTACAGTCGTATTGGATATTCCATTATTCACTATGATTTTTGTTGCAATGGAATAGTTATATATGAGGCTATCTTATATAGCCTTATAAGACTATATTGATATGACTGAAAGATGAATAATACAAAAACAAAAAAGTGGAAGTTAAGCCCGTTAATTTGCTTTCAGCATTATGTATCTTCCTTTACCCAGTAAAATGATTATCAGGTTGGAAAAGAGCTAGTGGTGGTCAAATCAAAACATGGCTTCATCCGTGAATAAAATCCATAACAGTTAGTTTAAGCCAGCCATGTAGGGAGGTGTAGACTTACCGGTTGGGGTCTTTGGGATAGTAAGAACCAATCACTGCAGGCAATTGGTGATAAGGCTCAAAATTGTCCTCAATGGCGCAAATGCATTCACTCTTTGTGATTTTTCAGATCTAGTAAAACTGCATTCTTCTTCCATATTGCTATGCTTTCCGCCTTGCATTTCTGATTATTTTCTCTCTTTTAACGAATTTCTCTTTACTCTCTCCTATGAAGGGACTGTGGCAACTCGAACTGTTGCACATCTATGCAAAGCTCTAGGATGAAACTAGTCAGTCAGTTACCAGTTTCCTGACTGGAAAGTTTTCTATTACTAAATCCTAAAGTATGTTTGAAAAAGTAAAATTGTTAAATATTAATGAAGTATACATCTATATGAGAATATTCTTAGTCTACTTTAATGTTAATAAATGATATCATTGATTGTATTTTTGTCCTTTCTAAGTAGGTATAACTGTTTTAGAGAAAATAGATGAATTTAGTTATATTTTTTCTATCATGATATTAATATATTTTGTTACTTCAACAGGTTATACTAGCACCTTCACTCCCAGATGGCACAGGACCTGATATGAGCCGCGTTATTATCAATCGCTCCGATCAAGTAGATAATAAGCCTACTGATGTGTATGACAGTATAGAATATACAAATGAACTCAATCCATCAGTGGACGCATTATCTTTGAGTACATCTAGTAGTTCTCCTTCTGTATGTCGCAAAGCATCGAATTGTACTGCTCCTCAACAACATCAAGAATATTTAGATGATTCAAGTGGGTATGCGATCGAAACGAATGAAAACTCAGACTATACCACTTCAGAAGAAATGAAATTAGCTACCATTGATCCTGAACCACCGAAACCACCCTTACTAAATGAAAAACCATGTATGTTTTCGTTTACTGTTAACTGAATAATTGATTTAGTGTTTAGATGTATTTTGTCTACTAAGCTGATATCACGTTATATGTAATTGTTTTTATGACATTTTTGAAGTCCTGTTTGAGTAAAATTAAGTTTTTACCTAATGGCAATGAAGTGTTTTCTCATAGCCATTTTACTACCAACTGATTGGCTTTTAAGTTGTGCGCTAGTCTGTTTCTTATGTATGTATAATAAGATGTCTCCAAAGATATCATGGTGAATTGATATGGGTTAGAGAACCATTGGAAAACCTGCAATGGAGTACTGGACAGCTGTTTCGTCCTAGTTTGGGACTCTTCATCAGGTTCGAACCCAGGACCTTCTGGTTATAAGGCGAGCTCGTAGATTATACCTTAATCTGAGCGATTAGGGTTACTGGTCTGTTTCAAAAATCACCACCGAGTGTTATGCGTTAGACACTGAAGGATAACTGCATGATAAAAGTGGTTAGTTGTCGAACCTTGTAAATTTTTCCACCTGTTTTTCATTTTATCGGTGTTTTTATATTAATTGTATTTATCTGTCTGAAGTGCTTGATTGATTAATGTTAGAGTTTTCTAGTCATCTTCATAGAGTATACTTTATTCAACTCCTTCGTCTTCAATACTTTGCTTAATGTAGACAGTCTTTTCCTCTTTCCACTTATCAGTTTTTATTAGGTAATTTTTAGTTTAGGTTATTATTGATGAACAATAATTATTGACAATAAAACAAGTGAATGCTATTAATAATTCGATTTTCTTTCCCACCTGAACCTTTTTTTTAAAAATAATTTTTACATTTATTAATTTTTAGTTTTATTCACCTCTTATTAATTTATTTATCGTATTTCAAGTGATTAACTATATGTTTCGATTTGGATCAACCAATTATGATAATCCTGATGATGAAAGACGTTTATCTAATCAATTAATTGATTTTTTTCGTGATCACTGGTTAAAAGAAGAGTCAGCAAAAGGTCCACATGAACGCAAAAAGGTTATTTCTTATATTCAACGGTATACACAACCAACTACTTCTGGTGATCTTATCCATAAAGCTACGTGTATTCAGCATACATGCACAGTTCGAATAGTAAGTGATTTTCATTAATACGCTTGTTGATTCTCTCAGTGAAATTAACTACTGTTAGCTTACATTATGCACGTAAGAAAGTGAAATAAAGTCTAGTGAGTTTAGTGCAGCATTACATAAGAATTTAGATCTCTCTATATAAAGTCAGGTGTTACGTGTACATGTATTTTTTTTAGCCGCTAGTGTAGTGTCCTACTGATAAGAATTATCAGTAGTCTATAAAGAAAAGTTCATCGGTATAAAAATATTAAATAGCAGAGAGATAGATTTGACGTCAAAGAGAATAAATGAGCCGAGGTTGCGGCAAAACATGGGAGAACGTGAAAAGAAGATATAGAAACACAATATGAAGGGCAGAAGTATCACACCACGGAAGATCTATGCAAATGATAATTTCCAGATAAGGCGTACATAATTTCTGTATCTAGAGATACCGAATTCCAAACAAACATTCTGTCTCTTGATGTTTACCGTTACACTAGAGCAGAGGTTCTTCATGCTAGCAAATCACTGCATAGTTTTTATAAGACTGCATACCACTTGCAATTGATTAGAACATTGTTGATGTAATCTTCAACTGTTGCTAACTAGATTTCTTTCGGTTCCGTGGATAAAACAGAAGGAAATTTACCTCTTCAACTCATGGTAATTTTAATTGGTTAAAACGTGTAGCAAATGTGAAGTAATTTTCTTTATATTTACATCACAAACTATTCCACTCACAAATATTATCGGGAATTATGTGTCAATTATATCCTTCTTTTTTCTTGCAGGTTGGAGGTATTGAAGGTCTCAAAGCTCAGGTATGATTATGGCATTTTTATCAAACCTTTATTTCACCTTTTTTGTTTCGTCATATAAGTTTTTAGTTATAATTACTTTTTAAAATTTATTCCAACTACTTTTTTGATTACAGTAGTAGAGTACTTTTGCACAAAATAATTTTCTGCTTCTGTATTTCTAATTTCTGTATTTTCTAATTAATCCGCACTACTTTCCAAAGAATTTTATGAAGATTTTTCACCTAGTATCTGGAATTTAAAGATTTATGCAAGCATACCATAATCCGATGTGTCAGGTTTTAATGTTTTGTAAAGCATAGAACGAGTCGTTCATTAATATAACTGGGAAATAAATCAAACAGAATTTATGTCCCTGGAAACTGAAATCAGAAATCTATTTTTTATTTTACTGTAAAACTGTTTACAAGAACATGCTGATTTATGAACATGATAGACGTATAGCAGTGAATCTTCTTCCAGAATTCACTGCTATAATCAATTATAAATATGATGTATATTCACAGAGCATTTGGCATTAATTTAGATTGATCTTATTTAGTTGTATTCTATGATGAGATATTGAAAAACAGAATTTTTCATCTTTTTATAAAGTTTTTCTGTCACTTCTTTTCCACTTCTTAAAATGTATGTACGTATGTGTATTGGATTAGCTGCAATTGCACTTGGCATCTCTTTTTTCACAAATACATGGTATTTTTTGATTTAACTAGTGTAAAAACAAATCAAAATATCCACTACAGTCCTACAGGAGGTCAATCGCGGGCCCAAATAACTCAGTGGTAACGTCTCTGACTGCAGCACTGGGTGACGCGGGTTCGAATCACAGAAGGGACATGAGTTCCTTCAAGGTTGCAGATACACCTTGCTGATGTGTGCCAGCTAGCACGAAACCTAGGTCCAAGGCTTCCTACCGATTGCCTCTAACCATCTAATACATGGTATTTATTTGGATTAACATCATCGCTAGTTGATCCTTTTTATTTGATTTAATTTCCTGACTGACAGTGAATTCCAATTTGCTACTGCTCACTAGTAGACATTTCTGTCTTCTATCAGCCGTTCTACGATGTAACTTGTACAACTGGTTTAAATCCGCTTTATATGCATATACCCTATTTCTTAAGGAAGAAACAAAATGAAACACCTATGCTGTCAATACGTCAACATATTTTCTCTACATCTGAATGCATTGCTTCGTCTTCAGAATGGGAATCAGAATTCTCATCAGCCCTAACGGATATAAAAGGGTCTTATGACTTACTTCATCTCTAGCGTAGATGTGATATCCTGTTATCTATCAAAGCACGTGCGTGCTGCACAGCTGTTCCTCTTGTTTGTATAAATAGCTGTGAGATACGGTCGTTAGAAGCTGTCTTTCATCACAGATTTTCGCCTTTCACCACCAATGTTAACTGGTACTATAGGGTGAGCAAGGTTTAGGTAAGGTGTAGGGTGTTGTGTAAGGAAGTGAAATTATAATCGATGTGGTTGTGAAGCTACGTCAATTGAGAGATGGCTAGGACACGTGTAGTGCGTCTCGTGCTACACCCTTTCTTGATGAACAATGTTAACTGACATAGGGTTAGATTGGAAAAGTTAGCGGCGATTAAATCAAGACCTGGTATCAATCCATGAAGTCTTTGACAACTGGTTTGAGCCGCGTAGACAGGTGTAGACTGCCTGGTTATGGTTCTCGGAATGCTAACAACCAATGCCTGGTGCTTCAAAATCTTCCTCTGTGGTATAGATGAATTCACGCTTTGTAATCATCCAGACCCATTAAACCTTCATGATTTTCCATGTTACTAGTTTTTTCCTTTCTCCTCCACATTTCTGTCTCTTACTTTCCTTCTCTACCTTCGTCTGCTACATGGAGTCTGGTAACTTGAACTGTGGCACTTCTGTTCAAAGTTCTATGCTGAAACTCAGTCTTTTTGTTAGTAAAAAATTAGCTCATTGCTATTAAGAAAACCAGTAAATATGGTCATTTCGCATATGTGCTAGTGTTTTCCTCATTATTACTTATCATACACACTCCCGACTGAGAATACTGATTCATTAAGATGTGTAGCTGAAGTTAGTGTTAGTGAAGCCTTGTTGGATATGCCCATTCGTGAATTCGTTTTTACTCTGTTCAACATAATCTTGTTTCTGAGGTTATCTTTTAATTAATAATATGTTTTCGAGGCAAAGTGTTTATAGCACACAAAAACACATGCTGTTATCGTCTTACTGTTTTAATTTCTTCAGGACTGATTATATCCTATGTTTGTTTAACTTCTTGCCCATAACTTGTCTGCAGAATTATTTACATAAGTTCCATCGTCACTTGAAATTTTTTTCGACAAACAGGAGATTCGGCACTAGTGTATTCCGTTTAAGTGACTTGCAGACTGAGTATGGATCATTTTAATTTAGTCCTATACTACTTTTAAGCAGTATTATTTTGTTCTCATAAAGGGAGAGAGTTAGAAAGGCTATGGATGACCCCATCTAAAGCGGAGAATCTGAAAATGCAGCATAAAACAGCTATACATATCGAATGCTGAGATAATTGGCTGTAAATTCTCGATCTTGTTGTTTAATGGCCTTGATAATCTAAGTCTGCATTATTAATTACTGTTAAAAACAATTGGCCTTTTTATAAATTTGTCACGCATCTCATCAAGGTCCGACCGTATATATATATTTTCTGTCTTATTTTATCATGATAATGATAAAAACTTCGTATATTTATGGGGTCCCGTGGGGTTTACTTATGCAATATAAACCTACCTTTACTTTAAACAGTGAGATCAACATGCTAGATCTGTTTATTTGATCTGAAGCACAATGAATAGTGTTATTAATTATAGCGTAAGTTGTTGCTTACAATCTTATCTTTGGTACATCCAGGGTAAATCGCTCAGTTCGTAAACATATAATGAAAGAAATAATTCACTTGGTTGTTAGGGTTATAGGATTCGCTATATTAAGTTGCTTTCTATAATGTTGCCTACATTGTAGACTTTATCAAATAAAAATTATGGTTCAAGCATTTATTCTAACTGCTGTTTCTTATTATTCTTATTGAACTATTTGACCAATCATAAAGGCAAACCATCCCATTCAGAGATCTGAATACCTCCCAGTTATTCGTCGGTGTGATTCAGGTTGATGTTCCTACTATCACCGTCGTTTCAGACACCAGGGCGTTTCATAAAGATCACATAATACATAACAGGCAATAGCGAGGCGTTCGCATATACAGCGCCGGTACCATTATAGTCTAACCAATCGACTTGTATGCATATGCAAACTAAAATGAGGGGATCACTAAGTCATTGCATAGATTATAAGTAAAGTAGGTATCAGATTAGACAAAGATGCATATATATACATATCAGTTAGAGACTCAGTTAGGACTCTTCATCAATACGTCCCAAACTGAAACAAAACATCTGTCCGGTACTCCCAGGTTTTCCAGTGGTTCCCTAACTGATATCAGGTCGTGATCAATCCTGTAATAAATCGAATCCCTGCTCACCAACGCTTTGTACATATATATATATATATATATATACAAGGACTTTGTTTTCTGTCAATTAGAACAGGCATATTTGATTTACAAGTTATTTCCGCTACCATCTAGACAGTGTATGCAGTAATCAGTAAAGAAGACTTTCTATCACTGCTTAGCTATTCTTCCCCTGAGAATAATAATCTTCAACTTCTTTAACGTTTCGGATAGACGAGCATGTAAGAAATAATAAAGAACCACAGGTGAAAGAGTTGCACAGAAGTGATTTTATGAAAATCCATCTAAGTTGTTTTCTAGTTACTTTTTACCCGGTTTTAGAAGATTTTCATTTAGAAAAGTTGGTTGGCTCCTTAAGGTATAAGATCAATTCGTTTATTATAACTGTGAGACAACTGACTAGAGCAATATAGTCCATCATAAGTGCAAATTAATAATTTACAAAGTCCCAGTGATCTTTTGTAGCATTTATTGTATACCGCAGTTTATCATTCCTATGGCCTCCTTTCGTCAAGCGAACCAGAAAATGTTTGACAATCCTGTACAGAAAAACTCGCTGAAAGCGTCCAATGTATTCGGCTTCACAAGAGTATGTGAACCTGTGGACTTATATAGAGGTGTACATCAGCGGTACTTTATCCTTTATTTATCTTCGAATCATACTCTACAACGAGTAGACATGGTGTAAATTAATAATAATAATAATAATTAATAATAATAGCTTTATTCCAGAAACAGTACTAATGATACAGCAAGGAATTTCCAGCATTCAGTACAATATTGCATCTAATTTACTCAAAAACGACAAAAAATTATAAGTACACATTACATAATAATAACAATGATAAAACGATTGTTACAGCAGCTACATAGCAAAATACTGTATGCAATACGGTGAAAAATATGCATAAAGTATAAAATTGTAGTAATAATAGTAATACCGACTAAGATAAAATAGCAGAGTAATAATTAAGCGACAGAAAGTGTGATACCATAAAATACAGAAAGATGAACTATGAAAGGGTCGATTTACTGTGCTAATCACATAGTAACTTATGTGTTTCACGTCTAACAGAGTCTTCATCACATAAAGTACGGGCTAAATAGGGTATTCTAGAATTTCTGTACTTAGTGGTACGAGCATATAACTTTTTATATTGACTTCTCGTCCTACCTGATGAGATACAAGGGGATAGGTGTGAATAAAGGGGGTGCAGAGGGTCTGACAGTATAGCCTTTGCCCATTTTGTACAGGAATTTATATGTCTCTCGACTATAGTATTGGCGAGCTTATTCAGTGGCAGACCACATGCCCTACTCACAGCCTTTAATACTCTTCGTAATATTATATAATCTTTTTTGAGAAGCCCAGGAAAGATTAATGGAGAGCAATGGAGTACAATAGGTAAAATACAGGAGTTTAAAAATTGCAAAACTAAAGGTTGGTTGATACCTGATTGTCTTAACATTTTAATGTAGAAGG